TTCGATTCCCGCTCAGGGCACAGGCCCGGGTTGCCGGCTGGATCCCCGTGTGGGGCGTGCAGGAGGCAGCCGGTCCATGATTCTCTCTCATCATTGCTATTTCTCTCTCCCTCTCCCTTCCTCTCAGAAATCAATAAAAATGTGTATAAATAAATAACAAGTGAGTTTCCCAGCATCGAGACGAGACCCTCGTATGCGCAAATTTTCCAGGTAGAGCCAGCATCTCAAGCTCAAAGGCTAACTCGGGCCCAATGAACACGGCATGCGGCCCGCGGGCCGCGAGTTTGACACGCTTGATGGTGAGGCTGTCGGACGGTCTCTGTTATTTACGCGGCCATCCCTTCCAAAGCCGGGCGTGTGCAGGCCGCTGTGGCCTCTGTGAACACGTGGCAAAGGGCTCTGGGAAAGCGAGGGAGGGGCGGGGACGTGTCCACGCGCGTGTCTGGGATTTATCGTCCTGTTTCCTGGTCTAGACCTCGAGGAACACGCCAGCCGAGGAGGACAAGGACGGCAACTGGGACGCCTGGGGCGACTGGAGCGACTGCTCGCGGACCTGCGGGGGCGGGGCGTCCTACTCCCTGCGCAGGTGCCTGACCGGGAGGTGAGCGGGGCCGTGCCTTAGGATGGGGTGTGGGGGGCGGGGAGGGCTGCCCGGGGAGACCCCTGGCTCCTTGGCTTTGGCAGGGCCTGGGGGGGGGGGGGGCGGCACCATCTGCTGGGTAAATATCAGCCAAGTAGCCGGCCGGTGTGGCTCAGTGGTTGAGCGTCGGCCTAGGAACCAGGAGTTCAGGGTTCGATTCCCGGTCAGGGCACAGGCCCGGGTTGTAGGTTCGATCCCCAGTGTGGGGCGTGCGGGAGGCAGCTGGTCCATGATTCTCTCTCATCATGGATGTTTCTCTCTCTCCCTCTCCCTTCCTCCCTGAAATCAATCTATCTCTCTATCTATCTATCTATCTATCTATCTATCTATTTATTTTAGAAACTTGTGTTTTGGAAAGGGGATGAATGTAGCTCTTTTGCCCGTTTGTTTCTCTGTGGATAAAGTTATTTTAGAGTTTGATCACATTTAGACAGAGTCAGTTTTTTAAAAAATATATTTATTTTATTAATTTCAGAGAAGAAGGAAGAGAGAGAAACATCCATGATGAGAGAGAATCACGGATCGGCTGCCCCCTGCACGCCCCCCACTGGGGATTCACCCCGAAACCCGGGCCTGTGGCCTTGGCCGGAATCGGACCCAGGACCCTTGAGTCTGCAGGCCGACGCTCTATCCACTGAGCCACACCAGCCAGGGCCCGAGGACATTTTTCCATTGATTTTCAGAGAGAGTGGAAGGGAGAGGGAGAGACAGAGAGAAACATCAATGAGAGAGAGACACATGGATAGGTTGCCTCCTGCATGCACCTCGACCAGGGCCGGGGAACCTGCAACCCAGGTCCATGCCCTTGGCGGGAATTGAACCCGGGACCCTTCAGTCTGTAGGCCAGTGCTCTACCCAATGAGCCACACCAGCCAGGGCAGTCATTCGTTTTCATACTAAATGGTACCCCACGCAGGCCACACCAGTGGAGGCCCATCAGGGGGCTTTGCCTGGATAGGGTCACACAAAAGGAGGTGGGATGGTCAACAGGCCAGCCAGATGGTGGGTTCAAAAAATCCTTACACCCTGGCCAGTCTGGCTCAGTGGATAGAGCGTCAGCCTGTGGACCCAAGGGCCCCGGGTTTGATTCCTGTCAAGGACACATGCCCAGGCTGCGGGCTTCTCCCCCACCTGGCCCCTTCTCAGGGCGGTGCATGCAGGAGGCTAACCCATCCATGTGTCTCTCTCACATTGATGTTCATCTCTCTGTGTCTCTCCCCCTCCCTTCCACTCTCTCTAAAAATCAATGGGAACGTATCCTCAGGTGAGGATTAACAAATCTACACTAATAAAAGGGTAATATGCTAATTAGACCGGACATCTTCCAACGTCCTTCCGGACAAAGCCATGGTGACAGGGGCCGAGGCAGAGGCACTTAGGGGCAATCAGGCTGGCAGGGGAGGGCAGTTAGGGGCAATCAAGCAGGCTGGGGAGGGCAGTTAGGGGCGATCAGGCCGGCAGAAGAGGGCAGTTAGGGGTGATCAGGCTGGCAGAAGAGGGCAGTTAGGGGCGATCAGGCCAGCAGAAGAGGGCAGTTAGGGGCGATCAGGCTGGCAGGGGAGCAGTTAGGGGGTGATCAGGGTGGCAGGGGAGTGGTTAGGAGCCAGCGGTCCTGGATTGGAGAGAATGCAGGCTGGGCTGAGGAACATCCCCCGACTCATGCATGAAATTCATGCACCGGGCCTCTAGTAAATAAATAAACAATGCCACTCTTGGTAACTGTCAACAGCTTTTTTGTGTCCCCGTATTTAGATGGATTCCAATGTTCCCTCGAACACTCGGAGCCTCTGACATCGTCCTGGCCCTTGAAATGAAAATGGAAAGGTTCTTAGGGTTAAGAAGTCAGCAAGCTTTCCGCAA